CAAGGCCAAGGGTGGGCTTCAGCCCATCCTGGACCTACGGGGACTCAACAAATACATGGTTAAGTTCAAGTTCCACATGGTCTCTCTAGGGATCATTGTTCCTTCCTTTGATCCTGGAGACTTGACATGAAGGACGCGTACTTCCACATTGCAATCTACTCAGCGCACAGACGCTTCCTTAGCTTTGTGGTCAATCAACAGCACTTTCAATTCACCGTCCTTCCTTTTGGCCTATCTGTGACCTCCAGGGTGTTTACTAAGTGCATGGCTGTTGAGGCTGCCTCTGTTCGTTGACAACGGATCCAACTGTTCCCATACCTCGACAACTGGCTTATTCGGGGCTGCTCCAGGGATCAGATGCAGTCTCATGTCTAGCTCACCATGAACATGTTCCATCGATTGGGCCTCCTGCTCAATGTCGCAAAATCTACTCTGGTACCAACCCAGAGGATAGAATTCATCGGAGCAGTCTTAGACTCAGGCCTAGCCTGAGCACTTCTGCCGGAAATACGCTTCATCCACAGCCTGCAAAACTTCCCAACCTTGACTGTGAAAACATGCCTATGCCTCCTGGGACATATGGCCTCTTGCACATATGTGACCATGCATGCCAGGCTGCGGCTACGTCCACTCCAAGCCTGGCTATCAACAGTATCCCGCACAGGTCGGCACAGCTTGAGCACCGTGGTTACTGTACTGCCATGGATATTGGCCTCTCTAGACTGGTGGCTGGACCCCAAATCAGTGTGCGAAGGGGTGCCATTTCACACCCTGCAGCTCTCCGTGTCCCTAGTCACGGATGCATCATCCCTGGGATGGGGAGCCCATCTCGGGGTCCTCCGTACACAGGAGCTATGGGTGGCAGGAGAGTTATCCCTGCACATCAACGTACGGGAACTTGGAGCTGTGCGCCTGGCGTGTCAGGCATTCCGAGAGCTCATTCAAGGCCGTTGTGTTGTAGTCCTCACAGACAATACAACGGCCATGTTTTACATCAACAAGCAAGGGGGAGCTCGGTCACCCCCCCTCTGTCAGGAGGCCACTCATCTGTGGGAATTCTGTATGGTCCACTCGATCCATCCGGTGGTGTCCTTTCTCCCCGGAGTGCAGAACACCTTAGCGGGCCGTCTCAGCAGATCATTTCAGACTCACGAGTGGTCGGTTTGCCCGGACGTCATCCACTCTGTCTTCCTGAAGTGGGGCTTTCCCCTGATATACCTATTTGCCTCTCACGAGAATCAGAAATGCAAGTGTTCTGCTCTCTACAAGGACGCTCTCTGGGTTCCCTGTCCGACACCTTCCTCATACAGTGGAAGGATCACCTGTGCTATGCCTTCCCTCCATTCCTGCAAGTCCACAGGGTCCTGTTCAAGCTGCGCAGGGACAGAGCCCATCTGATTTTAGTCGCCCCGGCATGGCCCAGGCAGCACTGGTATACCACTCTCCTAGAGCTGTCGGTGGACACTCCAGTTCCACTCCTGCTGTAACCAGACCTGATCACTCAGGACCATGGAAGACTGTCATCCCGACCTGCAATCTCTCCTCCTCACAGCGTGGATGCTGCATGGCTAATTCAATCTGAGCTGTGCTGCTCTTGCTTGGTACAGCAGGTCCTTTTGGGTAGCAGGAAGCCCTCCACCAGGTCCACGTACATAGCCAATGGAAGCGTTTTTCCTGCTGGTGCGCTCAGAGTCATATGGACCCCCTACAGGCATCAGTACCTATCATCTTGGAAGACCTCCTGTCCTTAAAATAGCAGGGCTTGGCAATATCATCTGTCAGACTGCACCTGGCAGCTATTTCGGCTTTCCACCCAGGCGAAAAAGGGCGTTCGGTCTTCTCCAATCCCATAGTCAGCAGATTTCTCAGGTTGGAGCGCCTGTTCCCATGACTTGGACAACCGGTCCCTATGTGGGATCTTAACCTGGTCCTCCCCAAACTCATGGCTGCCCCGTTTGAGCTGATGGCCACCTGCTTGCTCCTGTACCTTTCGTGGAAGACAGCCTTCCTCGTAGCTATCGCTTCGGCGAGGCATGTCTCCGAGCTCAGGGCCACTGTATACGGTGTTCCATAAGGACAAGGTACAGCTGCGACCCCACCCGGCCTTCCTCCCTAAGGTGGTGTCTGCCTTCCATCTCAACCAGGACATCTTCCTCCCCGTCTTCTACCCGAAGCAGCACGCCTCTCGACGGGAACGAAGCTGCACTCCCTGGACGTTTGCAGGGCCCTTGCCTTCTACATCAAGCGAACAAAACCTTTCAGGAAAACACAGCTGTTTGTTGCTGTGGCAGACCAGATGAGGGGCCTTCTGGTCCCCTCCTGGATCACATCATGCATCCGTGCGTGCTATGACTTGGCTGGTGTCCCAACTACGCACCTTACCGCCCACTCCACGTGGGCTCAGGCTTCGTTTTCTGCTTTCCTGGCACACGTACCCAAAGAGGAGATATGTAGGGGAGCGACTTGGTCATCGGTGCATACCTTCACTGCCTGTTATGTGATAATTCAGCAGTCCAGGGGTGATGCTGCATTTGGTTCAGTGGTCCTTCACTCCGCGACATCTCTCTCCGACCCCACCTCCTAGGTAAGGCTTGGGAGTCACCTAATTGGAATAGATATGAGCAAGCACTCTAAGAACAAAAGACGGTTACTCACCTTTGTAACTATTGTTCTTTGAGATGTGTAGCTCATATCCATTCCAAACTCGTCCTCCTTCCCCTCTGTCGGAGTAGCCGGCAAGAAGGAACTGAGGGGGCGCTGGGTCGGCTGGGGCGTATATCCGGCGCCATGAAGACGCCACTCCATGGGGCGCCTCAGCTGACCCACCAAGTCTTGTTGGGGTAAAAATCTTACGACGATCATGCACACGGCGCGCATACGCCTAATTGGAATGGATATGAGCAACACATCTCGAAGAAAAACAGTTACAAAGGTGAGTAACTGTCTTTTCCTGGGTTATTACTTTTGTTTTGTGGTGTGTGGTTGCTGGTGAGTATTTGGTTCAGGTTGTGGGGCTGTCTGTAAGCAAGGACTGGCCTGTCTCCCAAGATCTGTGAGAGTGATGGGTTGTCCTTCAGGATAGGTTGTAGATCCTTGATGATGCGCTGGAGAGGTTTTAGTTGGAGACTGAAGGTGATGGCTAGTGGCGTTCTGTTACTTTCTTTGTTGGGCCTGTCCTGTCGTAGGTGACTTCTGGGTACTCTTCTGGCTCTTTCAGTCTGTTTCTTCACTTCAGCAGTGTGATATATGTCATCATGTGCAAGCAATGCCCCTCTGCTATGTACATTGGCCAAACCGGACAGTCTCCGTGTAAAAGAATAAATGGACACAAATCAGACGTCAAGAATTATAACCTTCAAAAACCAGTCGGAGAACACCTCAATCTCTCTGGTCACTCGATTACAGAGTTCAAAGTCGCAATATTACAACAAAAAAAACTTCAAAAACAGTCTCCAACGAGAGACTGCTGAATTGGAATTAGTTTGCAAACTGGACACCATTAAATTTGGCTTAAATAAAGACTGGGAGTGGATGTGTCATTACACAAAGTAAAACTCTTTCCCCACGTTTATTTTTCCCCGCTACTGTTCCTCACACGTTCTTGTCAACTGCTGGAAATGGCCCATCTTGATTATCACTACAAAAGGTTGTTTTTTTCTCTCCTGCTGTTAATAGCTCACCTTACCTGATCACTCTCGTTATAGTGTGCACAGCAACTCCCATTGTTTCATGTTCTCTGTGTGTATAACATCGTCCTACTGTATTTTCCACTGCATGCATCCCATGAAGTGAGCTGTAACTCACGAAAGCTTATGCTCAAATAAATTGGTTAGTCTCTAAGGTGCCACAAGTACTCCTTTTCTTTTCACAAACTTTGAGTGATCTGAAAGACATCTAGCTGGAAATCATTTTGTTTTTTTTAAAGTGTGAAGAGAGGAAGAAAGAAACATATGTTAAATATCTAAATGACTTCTATTAATGTTTTAATGATTAGTGTTGCTTAATACTTGAGAAAAAATATGCAACTTAAACACTTTAACAATTTTTGAAAAGCAGTCTAGAATAATGAGTTCATAAGAATGAGTATGCATTTAAAATAACCATCTTCATAACTCTCTGTGTGTAGTAATTATTCTTCTAAACAGAGGTGGGCAAACTACAGCCCACGGGCCACATCTGGCCCGTGGGACCATTCTTCCCAGCCCTTCAGCTCCTGGCTGGGGAGGCTAGCCCCCGGCCCCTCCCCTGCTGTGCCCTCTCCCCCCAGCCTCAGCACGCCATGCCGCCAGCGCTCTGGGTGACGGGGCTGCGAGCTCCTGCTGGGCAGAGTGGCTGCTGGCCTGCCCCGATGCTCTAGACTGTGCGGCGGCATGGCTGGCTCTGGCCAGGTTGCGTGGCTACCAGTCCTGGTGCTCTGAGTGGCATAGTAAGGGGGCTGGGAGCAGCGAGGGGTTGGATAAGGGGCAGGAGGTCCCAGGGGGCAGTCAGGACAGGGAGCAGGGGGCGGTTGGATAGGTGTGGGAGTCCCGGGGGGGCCTGTCAGGGGGCAGGAGTTTGGATGGGGTCGGGCCAGTCAGGGGACAGGGAGCTGGAGGGGTTGGATAGGGGTTGGGCGGGGAGTACTGGGGGGGAGAAGTCGGGACAAGGAGCGGGGGGGTTGGATGGGTCATAGGTTCTGAGGGGGTCAGTCAGGGCGTGGAAAGTGGGAGGGGGCGGATAGGGGGTGGGGGCCAGGCTGTTTGCTACCCGTCCTGCCATACAGTTTTGGAACTCCCACGTGGCCCTCAACCCAAAAGGTTTTCCCACCCTGTTCTAAGAAAAAGAACTTCTTTTCTTATTCAAATGTATACTTACTGGTATATGTAACACATAATGTGCAAGCTAAAAGTATTGTGTGTAATACTGGAAAATGTAGGCTGTTTCTGCTACTGTATTTAGCAAAGCATATTTGGGATAATATATTTAAACTGAAATTTTGTTATCCTCTATTTTGATTTCAGACAGATTTAAGAACTATTGGCAAGAAATTCCTCTCCAGTGACATCAATGGTGGAAAGGTGGAAAAGGTACCCAAGAATATGAGTTACTAATTTATCTTCCTCTGTTCATTTTGACTTCTTGATAATGGCTATATGTTTCATCCAATTTGCATATTCTGGCTCACGTTACTTCATAAATATCTAAATATCTGCATGGTATGTATGTTTGTTTTTTTTCAGTGCATACATATATTTCGTTCACAAGTTTTGGAAATTTTGAAAAGTGTAAGCCACTTCTGTCTGTGTTTTAGCACAGGCTCTTCAGTCAATTAAATAAATGGAAATCTGATTCATTTATACAACTTGGATTTCTGTGTGCTTAGTCTTCATACTTAATTTAACTCCCCTGTTTTTGTTTATAAGTGGTGGTAGTTTTCAGTGCAAATAGTTATTTTTGATTTCTACATTTTGACTGTCTGTTGCTGATGGGAAGGTTTGTGGAAACATTTTTCATTAGCACTTAGTTGCTGAGCTAAGTAAAAACAGGTTTGTTTTCAGTAAGGTTGCAGAGTGGAGAAGTGGCTACCTGTTGTATGGACAAAAAGAAAAGGAGTACTTGTGGCACCTTAGAGACTAACCAATTTATTTAAGCATGAGCTTTCGTGAGCTACAGCTCACTTCATCAGATGTATACCGTGGAAACTGCAGCAGACTTTATATACACACACAGAATATGAAACAATACCTCCTCCCACCCCACTGTCCTGCTGGTAATAGCTTATCTAAAGTGATCAACAGGTGGGCCATTTCCAGCACAAATCCAGGTTTTCTCACCCTCCACCCCCCCACACAAATTCACTCTCCTGCTGGTGCTAGCCCATCCAAAGTGACAACTCTTTACATAATCAAGTCGGGCTATTTCCTGCATAGATCCAGGTTTTCTCACATCCCCCCCACCCCCATACACACACAAACTCACTCTCCTGCTGGTAATAGCTCATCTAAACCGACCACTCTCCAAGTTTAAATCCAAGTTAAACCAGAACATCTGGGGGGGGGGGGTAGGAAAAAACAAGAGGAAACAGGCTACCTTGCATAATGACTTAGCCACTCCCAGTCTCTATTTAAGCCTAAATTAATAGTATCCAATTTGCAAATGAATTCCAATTCAGCAGTTTCTCGCTGGAGTCTGGATTTGAAGTTTTTTTGTTGTAAGATAGCGACCTTCATGTCTGTGATTGCGTGACCAGAGAGATTGAAGTGTTCTCCGACTGGTTTATGAATGTTATAATTCTTGACATCTGATTTGTGTCCATTTATTCTTTTACGTAGAGACTGTCCAGTTTGACCAATGTACATGGCAGAGGGGCATTGCTGGCACATGATGGCATATATCACATTGGTGGATGTGCAGGTGAACGAGCCTCTGATAGTGTGGCTGATGTTATTAGGCCCTGTGAAGGTGTCCCCTGAATAGATATGTGGGCACAATTGGCAACGGGCTTTGTTGCAAGGATAAGTTCCTGGGTTAGTGGTTCTGTTGTGTGGTATGTGGTTGTTGGTGAGTATTTGCTTCAGGTTGCGGGGCTGTCTGTAGGCAAGGACTGGCCTGTCTCCCAAGACTTGTGAGAGTGTTGGGTCATCCTTTAGGATAGGTTGTAGATCCTTAATAATGCGTTGGAGGGGTTTTAGTTGGGGGCTGAAGGTGACCGCTAGTGGCGTTCTGTTATTTTCTTTGTTAGGCCTGTCCTGTAGTAGGTAACTTCTGGGAACTCTTCTGGCTCTATCAATCTGTTTCTTTACTTCTGCAGGTGGGTATTGTAGTTGTAAGAAAGCTTGACAGAGATCTTGTGGGTGTTTGTCTCTGTCTGAGGGGTTGGAGCAAATGCGGTTGTATCGCAGAGCTTGGCTGTAGACGATGGATCGTGTGGTGTGGTCAGGGTGAAAGCTGGAGGCATGCAGGTAGGAATAGCGGTCAGTAGGTTTCCGGTATAGGGTGGTGTTTATGTGGCCATTGTTTATTAGCACTGTAGTGTCCAGGAAGTGGATCTCTTGTGTGGACTGGACCAGGCTGAGGTTGGTGGTGGGATGGAAATTGTTGAAATCATGGTGGAATTCCTCAAGGGCTTCTTTTCCATGGGTCCAGATGATGAAGATGTCATCAATATAGCGCTAGTAGAGTAGGGGCTTTAGGGGACGAGAGCTGAGGAAGCGTTGTTCTAAATCAGCCATAAAAATGTTGGCATACTGTGGGGTTATGGGTAAGGACAAAGTCACAAAGTTCAGCCACCAGGTTAGCCGTGACATTATCGGGGATAGTGTTCTTGACAGCTTGTAGTCCATCTTTGTGTGGAATGTTGGTGTAGAGGGCTTCTACATCCATAGTAGCCAGGATGGTGTTATCAGGAAGATCACCGAAGGATTGAAGTTTCCTCAGGAAGTCAGTGGTGTCTCGAAGGTAGCTGGGAGTGCTGGTAGCGTAGGGCCTGAGGAGGGAGTCTACATAGCCAGACAATCCTGCTGTCAGGGTGCCAATGCCTGAGATGATGGGGCGCCCAGGATTTCCAGGTTTATGGATCTTGGGTAGTAGATAGAATATCCCAGGTCGGGGTTCCAGGGGTGTGTCTGTGCGGATTTGATCTTGTGCTTTTTCAGGAAGTTTCTTGAGCAAATGCTGTAGTTGCTTTTGGTAACTCTCAGTGGGATCATAGGGTAATGGCTTGTATGAGCTGTAGCTCACGAAAGCTCATGCTTAAATAAATTGGTTAGTCTCTAAGGTGCCACAAGTACTCCTTTTCTTTATACTAAGTGAAACTATTTCCCCTTGTTTATTGCTCCCCCACACACACACACACTGTTCCTCAGATGTTCTTGTTAACTCCTGGAAATGTGCTGGAAATGGCCCACCTTGATTATCACTTCGAAAGGTTTTCTCTCCCCCCACCCCACTCTCCTGCTGGTAATGGCTCATCTTAAGTGATCACTCTCCTTACAATGTATATTTTTCTCATGGTCTGTGTGTATATAAAATCTCCTCACTGTACTTTCCACTTTATGCATCCGATGAAGTGAGCTGTAGCTCACGAAAGCTTATGCTTAAATAAATTGGTTAGTCTCTAAGGTGCCACAAGTACTCCTTTTCTTTTTGCGAATACAGACTAACACGGCTGTTCCTCTGAAACCTGTTGTATGGAGTTGATCATCCACTGGTGCTGTGTTATCTGTCTGAAACCATGACAAATGTAGTGCAAGCGTTAGTGAAGAAGAAACTGATAATAAACCATAAAAAGCTGATTTGAGACATTTTGTATTGCAGAGTAGATTTGAGTTTTTAACCAAACTTTGCTTTGTGTGCATGTAGCTCTTAACTATTTAAATAAACAAGCTTTCTCTGAAAAAGGGTTTCAGTTCTTATTTAATCCATCAAAACTATGTTTTTGTAAATATTTCTAGCAACTTTCAAGTTGGTGTTTTATCATGTGTAGCTGGTAGATGGATTATTTTAGCCATTGAAGCTTCTAAATAATATTCTGTCTAAGTTTGAGGCTTCCATTTCACATCACACGAGTGATCTCTTCTCATTTTGTTTTTCATTAGATTTTTTTTGTTTATCTATTTCCATATCTGCTTTCCGAGTTTTTTCAAAAAGAAAAAAAAAATTATATCCAGTTGATGAGTTGAAGCTTTTGTCACATTGAGAAATTAGCGTGAAAAGGAATAAAAAATACTTCAGGCTTCTTCTACCTCAACCTAGTGTGACAGGGTCGGGCCAGGTGGCTATAGGAGAGTAATAGAAGGCAGATATATTAGCCTCAGGCTAAGTAGGTCCCTTTTCCCTGGGTAAGGTAACAGGGAAGGTTCCAGAACAATCAGGAACCTTCTGGAAACAATTAAGACAGGCTGATTAAAACACCTGCAGCCAATCAAGAAGCTGCTAGAATCAATTAAGGCAGGCTAATCAGGGCACCTGGGTTTTAAAAAGGAGCTCACTTGAGTTTGTGGTGCACGTGTAAGGAGCTGGGAGCAAGAGGCACTAGGAGCTGAGAGTGAGAACGTGGACTGTTGGAGGACTGAGGAGTACAAGCATTATCAGACACCAGGAGGAAGGTCCTATGGTGAGAATAAAGAAGGTGTTGGGAGGAGGTCATGAGGAAGTAGCCCAGAGAGTTGTAGCTGTCGCACAGCTGTTCCAGCAGGCACTCTAGACAGCTGCATTCCACAGGGCCCTGGGCTGGAACCGGGAATAGAGGGTGGGCCCGGGTTCCCCCCAAACCTCCCAACTCCTGGTCAGACACAGGAGGAGTTGACCTGGACTGTGGGTTCAGAAAGACGGCCGAGCTGAGGGCTTCTGTGAAGCTCCAAGGCAAGCAAATCAGCCAATAAGTGCAAGACCCACCAAGGTAAAGCAGGAACTTTGTCACAATGGTTGCACCTCAGATCAGTGTTGAAGTATCACTGGGTTTTTGGTTTTTTTCTCATGTGATATCCACCAGACCCTTGCAAACACACAGCTTTGAGAACTGATTTAATTTCTAAAATGATTTAAGTGTTATAGTTTTCTGACCTCTTATTACACTCTTATGGATTACTTGAAGGGTAGCTGTTCATTAGTTTTCACTGATCACTAGAGTAGACCAGATAATTGTACTTGTCATCTACTTCAGGGCTTTACCCTCAAAGAAAATGCTTGCTGAAATATTTGTTACCATGACCTCATTAGTTCAAAATGTGAAGGCCATTCTCTCTCAGAAATATATTTGCATACTGAAAACTTAGTTATTAATCTAGTTGTTCTGGTCACCACTCAATTCTGTTTTTAATGCCCTCTTAGTACAGATTAGAGAATGCAACTCTGTCATGCGTTTTCCCAAGACTCTGTTTCAAAAAGGGCTCTGCCTTTGGATGTCATGGTGATAGGTGCATTAGAAGCAACAGAGATAGTAATGGCTGGCTGTTACAGGAAGAAATTGACAAGAAATACAGCTGTACATAGCAGGTATTGCATGCAGAAAACCATTGAACTGTGCTTTAAAGCTTCTGCTTGGGGAGATGAAAAAATAGTTCATCACCTTTAGTTTAAATTTCAA